TTCCCAAACTTCCATTGGCACTATAGAAATCTCTTCCTCATTATAGTAGCCATCTAGCAGTGTCTGTTTTTTGTTGGCTTTTTTTTCCCATGTGATTTTTTTTTTAAGAAAATATGTAAATAGGCAAACTGTGGAAAAAAAATCTGCATTAAGAGACATAGAGCCCAAATCCTCACAGTTACCATTCCCAATCACCCTTTCCCTTTTCAGATATATCAGAAGATGCTGCTGTCGGCTGCATTTCACCCAACAGTTTCCAGCCCTCTCAACCTCAGCTTGCTACTCATGCTGCCTACAAGTACTCTCTGGGGATCCTCTTCATTTCCAAGATCCTCTCCCACCATCTGCACTCAGCCACAGCCACATCCAGCAACCTTTCCCCACTAGAGCTCAAAAGCAATACTCCCTTCTTCCTTCTGTTGAAGGTCTGGTTTCTTGGTAAATAATTAGTGCCTGCAGACTGATTATCTCTAATGCAAAGAAATACATTTGCTTTATTGAGTAACATTGCTCTATTCCTATGAATAATAAATAAATTTCATCTCAATAAATTTCACAATGTATTTCATCTCAAGAATCCTCTTTGATAAAACAGAAGCTATTAAAAAGTGTATTCTTTACAAGGAGAGTGGTTAGGCCCTGGAACGGGCTGCCCAGGGAGGTTGTGGATGCCCCGTCCTTGGACGTGTTCAAGGCCAGGTTGGACGGGGTCCTGGGCAACCTGATCTGAATGTGTACGTTTGGTGGCCCTGCTAGGCAGGGGGGCTGGAACTACATGACCCTTGAGGTCCCTTCCAACCCGGGTGATTCTGTGTATTGGCTTTGAAAAGGTGTTCTACATCACCTCAAGCCTTTAAAAGTGAGGGGGAAGGAGAGAGAAAAGAAAAGGATATTTGATTTGTCATTCAGCATTTGTTACCTATTTAAAAGCCATCATCCACATGTATTCTTTCAAACTAGAGACAGCCACAGGGGTAAAAGCAGTAACTCCATATTCTCCTAAATCTAAAAACTACTGATTTTTCAGTTACCATCTTCAAATTCTCTCTTTTTGTAAGCCGTTCACTCACTTCTAAATAGCAGCCAAGAATAAATTAGAGCTTCTTGTTGCTTTCTTTTCATGCTGAAAGATGGTGACACAGGCTAAGCAATTATTTGAATTTTAGAAATATAAATTTCTGATTTAAAATATTGTTAAACATAAAAATTAAATAAGCAGTCTATAAGTTTTGCTCCTCCCCTCTGATTTCAGACAAAGATCTGAAGCCTCTATTTCTTCTGAAGGCAAGCGGCCTTGAGTGACACCCCCTCCATTTGTGATTCCCTTTGCAGGCCGTTTGCGTTACTGAAACATATCTCAGTGCTATTTGTAGTCTTACCTTGCTGTAGTCAATCCTCACAACACAGTACATATATTCAAACTGCCTGAGATATGCACCCCCCTGCTCTCCCCTACCCCCTTAAAAAAAAGTGAGATTACAGCACAAGCCTCATCTCACTACATGGTCCTCAAGATGAGAGAACAATTGAAGAAACTCTAGAATGCAGCCAGCTTACACACATCTCAGACAGGGAGCAACAGAAAACAAAAACCAAACAATACTTTCCTAGGGCAAAACAACAGAACCGCAGGCCAGAATGCCTCTCAAATAGCAGAGATCTCCTTACCTTAGGGTCCTCTTATCTGCAGCATCAGCACAGATACCTCAGGAACACTCCGTGTCCCTGGGGCCATATGCACAGCAGATGCACCTGCCAGTCTACCGGGCACTGCAGGCAAAGTGACAGGTCTCTCCTTCCTTGGTCTCTGCCAGACAAGTCATACTCTTATCTATGATAGGAGACAACAGAACATGGTTCCTTCTTGTAAGTTCCTGAACTTACTGGCTTCTCAACGGGATCTGTGGAGACAAGCCCCACTCATCCACAGCACAGCTACGTGGAAGTCAGCACAGTGAGAGTTCTGTCTCTAATAGTCAGTGCCCTGCATGTCAGTAACTATGATCACAAGTCATATCAGAGCTGGAGACAGACTGTTCTCTGGCAAGATGAACTAACTTCCCATGGACATAGGAACACCACAAATTCTCCCTCTCTGCCACTGGAACTGTCTTGTCAGTCCTCTCTGAAATAAATCCCTACAAGATCACTAACCTCCTTTTTAGCTTAGAAATAAAAGAGCCCAATCAGAACTTCACTCCTATTCAAAGGGTAGTAAGTTTAGAAATTACAGAGAAAAAATAGTGCTTTTATTATCAAGTTGTATCACTGACATTAATCTGATATTATAGCAGTAGGCAGCAGTAGAACATCATGAAGTGGACAAAGAGCAAAAAAGCTCAGAAAATCCAGAAACAGACAGAGCATCTTAGAAGATTTGCTCCAGTTCTGTTCAGAGCTGGTAGCTCAAAGGCCAGAAAGTACCATTAGTATCAGAGCTGCCATTACCAGCCTTGGAGCTGCAAAGGAAAACAGCATTAACAAGACCTCCTTGTCCCTCACAGGCTTTATTTATCAAATGCACAGCTGAGACCCAAGTCCATCAGCACATGCAAAGTATTTTCACTTCCTCCCAAAAACTCACCAACTCATGTGCCCAGCCAGGGCAGAAGGGGCTTGCAAGTCTTGAAGCTACTGTAAATCTTTCCTTTATACAAGTAAGCTGAGAAGCCAGTCAGGAACTATAAGTTGACCAAATTCCTCTATCCACCAAAATCTCCCATTTGAAATCTCATAACACATAGTACCAGCTATGACAGCTATGAAATTCCCTTCAAAGATGCACAGAATTATAGAAACCAGTACTATTATTGTTGCTACCGGAGAAGAACATTTTGATTACCTTGTCCTTTACAGACACCATGAAATACTCACTATAGTACCATCTTCTCACAAACAAAAGCAAAGCAAACAGGAATTCCTCCTGCTGTTAAAAGTCTCCCTACAAGTCTCAGAAATGCCTCCAACAAGAAAGAAAAAGAAAAAAAACGCATATCTGTTTCATGACAGTCAACAGCTATCACATCTTTCTGCAGGGCAAGATCCCAAATTAAAATTCACAATCTCAACTTCAGTTCTCTCTCCTTGTAAGACCCGGACCTCTCTGAGCTTCAGATTGATGCTCATGTCAGTATTCATCACCGACATTGAGGCATATACATTTGCTCCCTATCATGCTGGAAGCAAAAATAATCTTTTCCTTTTAAAAGGGCTGTGCAATTTTATCCATTACCAAAGCAGCTTAGGCACACACTAAGGATGTGCAATGCACAAGCCCAAATCACACATCCTCCTTATAATAATGAGAGTGCCCCTCACCTCATGCTTAGCAGAAGGAGAAAACATAGCTTCTCTTGAAGGATTTCCTCTCTGCAAGGAGGAATTTGAGACTCACTGGAAAAAAAAATGCTGCTATTCCGTATGTAGCTCAAGAGACTTTTCAGAGGTAGAAAAGAGCAAGACACCATGATTTCCTCTCTGGCTTTGCTCTAAGACGAGCTTTGGGAAGCTACTGATCAGCATCATGAGCCTCTCTGCAGCTGATTTGCAGATAACCTCCTTATAACAGTCTCAAATCAGAGTCTGTCTCTCAAAAGCAAACTGCAGGAGTGCTGAACCCTTGACTTACAGTCAGTCTGGTGAAACTTAGGTATTTGGCTGGTTTGGTTTACTTTTCTTCATTTTATTATGAAGTCTCCAAGCCACTTATGGCTTAATTGCATCACTGTCTATGAGGATCCACTGTCAAGGAAGTAGGTCCGGACATATGATCCAAATAGACATCTTTAAGGCTCAAAGCCCAAAAGACAAAGAATAAGAACTGAAAAATAGGCTTTTCTTGTCCAGTTCTGTAGTGTTTAGGACAGTGCTGACACCACTGGGGACAGGCTTGCTAACCTCACCTACTGTTTACTGGCTGCAATTTTATGCCGGGCACTAACCAACATGCTGCAACAAAATCATTTTTACACACTAACTACACACAAAATGGAGGGGGAAAAAAAACAACAAAATCAACCAAGAACCACAATTACCCCCTCTGGATAAGAGAAATAAGTGAGGTCAAACCACTCTGCAATTGGCAGCAATAACCAGTACATCTCTCACTGAGCAAACCCAGAGCTCAGCAGTGTTCCAAGACAATGCTCATCATATTTTTTGAAAGAAAGCAGTTAGGTGATATGAAATACTATCAAGAGGAAATAAGTAGCTGAATGTATTACTGCATACATATTGATTTTAGCACTACTTAAAATCAGACAAAACCAAAACACTGACAATAAGTCACGGCCATCAGCAAAGACCTACTGACATTACCCAGGAGAACCGAGGGCATTGGTAACTATTCCCAATGCCCTCAACAGCTGCAGCCTTCCTCACTGCTTTCCCAAGCAGTGCTAACCTGACTCATCAAATGGGACACCACAACTTTGTTGGGCAGGAAACGCACACGTGTTCCTAACAGCACACTGTAATCACCTTGTAGGAACGTGAAGTAGCGAGTGCACCCATTTGCACACCTTCATGAAGTTACACAGAACACAGCAGTAGTTTACTACCCTATACTGCAAGTGCACAATTACGTACTGGAAGAGAACAGGCAGGTAAGACAGCACGTAGCTACACTTGCTTACAGCGTGAAGTGCTTCCAAAGGATTCGTGTGAGATCCGCAGCACACAAGTGCTGAATCACCGTAGTACAAAGCAGATACTCAGTAAAACTTTGGTAAAGCACTCCACATGCATTTCTATGATAATAAGAACCGGTCCCATTACAGTTGGGAATAAAGCTATTTTCCCCCATATAATTTCTGATAGCAAAGTAATACACAAAACGCTCCGGTTCCACTTGCGACAAGCACCTCGTCTTTCAGAGCGATCACTGGCACGCACGGGAAACCCGCCAGCCATCTCTACCGCGGACCCGCGGACGGCAGCGCCTCGCGAGCAGTCAGCGCGCGGCCAACCACGGCCCCGGCCGCGGCGCTGCCCGCACTCACCCAGCAGGGAGCCCACGAAGATGACGAGCTGCGCGGCGGTGGCGAAGTGTCGGTATCCGGGCTCCCCGCCGCGCTCCGCGCCGCCCCAGGGCCCGGCCGCGCTGCCGTTGCCGCCGCCCCACGCCATCTGCGCCGCGGTCCCGTTCCTCGCCCCCAGGGCGACGGCGCGGAACGGGGCGGGCTCGCTGCTGTTCAGCGGAGCCCGACTCGCGCCGTGCCCCATGGCGAGGCGCCCGCCCCTCGCACCCTCCGAGCAGTTCAGCGAGCGAGCGGAGCGCGCGGGCGAAAACGCGGCGCTGCGGAGGGAGCCCCGGCTCTACCCCTCGGAGCCACCGTCACCGCGTTTCTGCGTCCCGGGAAGCAGGCCCGGTTTTTCGCGCTCCTGCCCTGCGAGTCGCTATGGCCATAAAAGAGAAGGGGGCCCCGCCGCGCCGTCCGCCGTCCCATGCTTCTCGCCTCGCGGTGTCCGGCGCCTCTCAGCGGGGAGCGCGGACGGGGAGAGTCCCAACGGCGGCTCCCCGCCAGCCCCGCCCGCTCACCACGCGCTGCGGCCGTCCGTGAAAGTTACGGGAGCCTGCGCCCGGCCCCGGAGCGCTCCGCTCAGCCCCCGCGGCGGCGCCGTTCCGCAGCCCCGAGCGACGCGGCGCAGCTCTCTGCCCGCGGCCGGCCCGCCGCCCGCCTTCATTCTGCCCGCGTTTGCGACGACGGGCGCGGCCCCGCGCGGCACGCGGTAGCCCGCGCCCGAAGCGCCGCGGCGCCGCTCCCGCCGTTCACAGGGAAAGTGATTTGTTTGCGAGCTCCGAGGCGAGGAGCGCGCGAGTCTCTAAAGAACAAACGCAGCTCCGCACCAAACGCAGCCCGCATCGACACCACGCCAGCGGCAGGCGGCAGCCGGCGGCCGAAATCCCGCCTCCGCCGTGACGTGGCGCTGCGGAGCGGCCGGAGCTGCCATGTTGGGGGCAGAGCGGCGGACGGGGGGCAGCCGGCGCCTCGCGTGACGCGTTGAGCGCCGTGCGCCGCGTTCGACTCGGGGCTCCCGCAGAAAAATGAAACAGGAGAGGGCTGCCGCTGATGGGCCCTGCGGGCATTGCCAGCCGGGAACTAGGAGTAGCGGAATGGACCTGAATCAGGTTTTGCTTGGTACTGATGTCGCGATACAGCTGCAGACGCAGCAGTTACGAGTTGCGGTCCCAACCGGTACTGTGACACCTGGGTTTGAATTAAAAAAAAAACAAACAAACACAAGGGATGCATGTAAACGAGTTTTTCAGGACACGTGGAAACCCACAAGGGCTACTCTGCAGGGCACGTCCCTCCTGAGGCGGCCCGCTGACAGCAGACGCCCGTAAAAGCGAGAAGCGAGCAGGTACTGCTGCACTCCTGCTTGCTGCGTGCCGGTGCTTACGGATACGGCGGGGAGCGCAGCCGTGAGGACGGGGTTCCCGGCGCTGCGTGAGGCGTAAAGGCTACGAGCCAGGCTCGCACCCCACATCCAACTCGGCGGCCGCCGGCCCGCCTCACGCGCCCGCCCCACCGCCGGGGCCGCCGTTCCGGCCCCTCCTCCCGGGGGGTGCGGCCCGCACAGGGACGGCGCCGCCGGGAGCGTGGCAGCGTCGCGGGGCCGCCCGCCCGTGTTGGCCGCTTCCCGCCCGGGGGAGCTGACATGGCCCGGGCGAGCGACGCGCGGCAGCCGCCCGCGGAGGTGGCCGCGGAGCCACCGGAGAGCTACCAGCTGCGGCAGGAGAACGAGCTGCAGGCGCTGGAGTCCATCTACGGGCAGGACTTCCAGGATCTGCGGCGGAGCCGGGCCTGGAAGGTAGCGAGCGGCGCACCGCGGCCGGGTGCTGAGGGCCGCCCTCCTGCGCTTCGCCTCTGGGCGCTCCTCGGCACGCTTTGTCCGCGCGGGGTGCCGGGCGCCGGTGCCGCCGGGCGGGGCGAGGCCGTACGGAGCGGGGCCTGCTGTCCGCCCGCCGCCGCGCTTGTCCTCTGGGTTGACGCAGGCGTAATTAATGCTCTGCGTGTAACGTGCGTTTTAATTAATTGCCAGCTTAAGAAAAGCTGCCTTTGAATTCTTTTGTTGGCTAATTACGGGCTGCCTGACTCATCCCGTCGGCGCACATATTGCTGAACTCTGTACGTGCGTTCTGTGCGGTGGCTCACAGGAACGGGGCTGTTTCCGTCACAACCTCTACTTTCACTCTGTAGTATTGGCTTTTTTTTTCCAATTATTGCTAATTGCCCAAGTCTGCTGTGCAGTGCTTTCTTTCCATCTCCCTTCCATGCACACAATGTCTTCTTGCAATTTTTTTTTTTCAGCTGCATCTGGTGGCACAGTTTTCCATAGCTGCAAGTACCACTCACTTATGTCACCTCCCCATAACTTCACTGCTGCTGTCATGTTAGCTGCCTTTGGCTTTGGTTCTTGCAGAACGTCATGGCTGATACTGTTTTTCCTGCTGGCCACGTGAAGCTAGAATTCTTGCAGAAACTTCTGATTTATTGGGGTAGTGGTGGCATTTGATGCTAGCAGTGCCCGTAACTTGCTGCATTTTCACAAACGTGCTTGCTCTCTCTCCTTATAAAATTTGTGTGTAACCTGTGCTTCTCCCGCTTGGAAATGCAAAGAAGAGGGGATACCGACAGTCTACTAACCTGTTCTCATATTTTTGTGATGTTATTTCCTTCCCTGTTCATCACACTGCTAAGATCTCTTCCCTTAAAAAAAAATACATTCTAATTGAGATGAAGAAGGTTGGAATGTTTACATAGACATGTTTTGTTGTTCTTTTTAAGGCAAACAGGCAGTTTCAAGGAAATGGTGGGAAGACTTGTTAAAATTTTGTTTAACGCCAAAAATAAAAAATATAATTACAAAAACTTACTGTTCATTTGGCTGCACAAGATGCAGTTTCATGGTCTGTTGTCATGTTGGAAAAGAAAATGCTGACTGGTATTTGTTAATGATCTAAAACAAAAAAGAAGCCATTTCAGTTGTACACTGAATGTGTTAACTTGTCATATTTCATAACTAAGCTGTCCAGGTGCCCTAACTTTTTCTTGCAGAGGAGGATTCTCATATGAAACTTCCTTTCTGCTTAGTCTGACTCATCTTGTTGATAAGTGCTCTTATCCAAAGAAGTTCCCAAGTGTGTTGGATAAGCTGTTGTAACGAACCAGCTCTCTCATTGATCAGTGTGGTCTGACCTGAGTTCTGCTATAAAAATGGGTGGGAGACTTGTGTGCAGTAATTCCTGCTTTCATTATAGCAATAGAAACGAAAACGACGATGAAAAAACCCTTTTAAATCTAAAGCTTTGTTTTCTGCTATAGGTACGACAGCCTCCAGAAATCAATTTAGTTCTGCATCCTCAGGGATTGACTGGTGATGATGAGGTGTACGCCAAAGTTGATCTCTGGGTCAAGTGCCCGCATACTTACCCTGATACGTGAGTGAACATTCAGATAGAACCTTTTTTTTTTTTTTTCCTCTGAGCATTTATTTGTTTTCACGTAGGTTGAAAAAACATGTAATTACATTCATTGTTCTTATTCTTGCTTTCTTCATGTCAATATTTGTTCAGGCTCTGCTATTTTTGAATAGGTAACTAATTCTTTCACCTAAATTGGATGTGGTTTCTTGTGCAATAAGGACAGGTGTGCCTGTCAGCATCTTAGTGCCCTTTGGAAACTTCTCCAGCCCATGATCTGTTCTGCTCAGAGAAGGACTTACCTTTTACTTTTTAAACACTTTTGTCCCATTTGTATTTGATATTCGCGTTCTGAGCTTTTAGAAGAGCTCTCCACAGAGAATGTAAAAAGAATTGCTAGAAATCAGCACTTCCTGTGTTTTGGATTAGCAAATGTGTTTTGAGTGAAGTACTGCCCTGCAAGCACTGAGGAAAATGTTCTCCTCAGTCCCTGTGTCACTGGCTGTGTCCACAGCATTGCAGCCTTTAGCCCATCTGTTTGCTGTGGGCCCTGAGCAGCATACAGGGGAAGCACTATTTGCAGCCAGGCAGTGGATCAGATGTGCTGGGGAGCACAAGGCACAGCAGCCCCTCTTGTTTTATTTTTGTTTCTTTTTAGTTTAAGTTAGCATACTATGGATGTCTTACTTATTCCTGTTATTGCACCTTTCCTTTTAGTTTTTGTCACCTGTATAGTGGGGATAAATGAATTTCAGCCACCTCAGTGTTATGCTAGTAGCATCTGTAAAGCACTTTTATATGAATTACTAACAAAGATTGGAATTGTGAGAAACTGCAGGGGTTTCCTTGCAAGTTCTTCTGTTACATATAACTGACAAGTAATATGCAGCCAGAAGTTGATGAATGTAAAATAATATCTCTGGCTTTATTCTGTTATATATTTAATATTTACCTACTGCTTGTTGACCACTAACTAGTTGCCAAGTGATGATAAACTCCATTCCTTTTCCATCATTGATATATTTTTTTTTTTTACCAGCCCTCTGTATCTCATATAGCTTTTTACACTCTCTCCACCTCTCTTCCTGTTCATTCCCCTTCCCTCCTCCTTTTACTTCCTTTTTTTTTCTTTATGAGGACCTTTATGTTCTGTTGCTGTCTCCCAGTGTTCCTGAAATACAACTGAAAAATCCCAAAGGCTTGTCTAATGAGAAAATAAATGAGTTAAAATCCAGACTAGCTGAACTGGCAAAAGAGTGCTGTGGAGAGGTAAGAACTTTTCACATCCTTGAGAAATGCACCCTTGTCCTAAGTAGTACTAGCAAAATGTATCTGTAATATGAGGACATGCTTCCACATTAGAAGTATGATTTAAATCGTTGTGAAGAATGTTTCTATTAAATGAAAGTTCTGAGCATGAACTCTTCAGTCTCCTGTTGCAGTGGGTGGCAGCCCTGCCCATGGCAGGGGGATGGAAAAGGATGTTCCCTTCCAACCCCAGCCATTCTATGATAGTGCATATTTAAATAAGGTGGATAATGTAAGACCTTAGGTATTGGAGATGCAGTGGTCTGCTAGCGCTGTGCACTCCGTGCTGTAACAGAGGAATGTTCCTACATCAATGAAAGCCCAATTCCTGACAGATCAATCAATCGTCTGTACATACCTAGCAAATCATGTGCCCCGTTCAGTGCAGCTTTTATTTTAGTTGTTGTAGCTTTATGAATGTGGAATGCCTTCTGTGGCTTTAGAGTTCTAGCTCTGGGGTTGAATTGTAGAAGGATTGGATTTCACATTAGCAATGGAGTGACTACTCAGTAGTAGTAGGTACAGAGATAGACGAGTGCAAAGGATTTATTATATTGTAGCTGATATGTCTTAAATATGTGTCTTTGCAAGTAGAAAGATATCAGCAAGAGAAGACAAGAAAAAGGATTTTGCAGAGAGGGAAGGGGAAAGGTGCTTGAAAGTTCTCTGACAGTAATTTTCACCATCTGCTACTGCGGTCAGGGACTTTCATGCCACAGTTCATTAATGAGTAGATCTTACAAAAATAATGGAAGTACCTCTGGTAAGTAACAAAATGAACAGTCACATCTT